TTTTCTAGCCGAAAATGTGATTCTTCTTCGGGATGTAAGCAATGTGTTCTTGATACAAGAAAATGCTATTCGTACTGTAAAAACTTCACTCATGCAAAATTATTAAGTGCAGGTCAAACATCGAATGCGGATTTGAAAATTGTATTGAGCTTATCAAATTACTTATCTGGCAAAGTGGAAATTAAAAKTAAGCGACATCGCCAGCAAAGACGAATGAAAAACAATTATGTTAAAGATACAAGAATAACTCAAATGCCATGAATATTATCAAGCAACATCCATTAAGGTGGGGTATTGTTAGTGAGAAGGGTAATTCACTGGCTGTGGTTACCTGATGGAGACAATAACTGGATTATAAGATGGTAACAATGGCTGAATCTMTTGCAAAAGATGCCAAGTTCACGACTTGTGCATGGATTACTGACTTACGCAATCTTTTCCGTTCCACAAAAATATGATTCATAGTAGTGTAAACATATATACAATGTACTGCATACTGGTCATTAGTATAAACATACTAACGGTCTATCACTCATACTGCGCTGTGATTGGCTACTCTACTAATGGTCTAATTTGTGATAGACCACTCGAGGGAAAATCAAAATAAACAAATTATAAATTATTTTAAGGATGTTTCAACTTGTTTTCATTATTTGACCGATTAGTATGTTTATACTAAAACAATTAGACCTCTCGGCCTCGTGGACTACGAGCTCGGCCTCATGGGCTATTAGCTCGTAGTCCACTCGACCTCGAGGTCTAATTGTTAAATAGCGACGAAAATATGCAGATGACTGTACTACAAGATACTCATTGATTAGTCATATTAGTTCATAATTGTAATTTTATAGTAGCCAGTATTCAGTATTTAATATATCATATAAGAAATTCACGTATATATAATGTAAAAACAAAAGCCGCGGCAAATGTTATAAAACAGCTATTTATTGAAAGCTATTTATTTCAAATACAGTTTACGTTACGAATAAGTATTGTATACTAAATTCATTTTAAAATCTATATACCAGTACCCTGATATACAGTACCCTGGTATTCAGTACCCTGGTTCCAGAGGCTTGTCTTATATTCTGATCTCGTGCTTATCATTATTGTTTAGCCACACAGCGGCGAGACATTTCCGTTAAAATGGTTTTCTTCCACGCCATTAAAAAAAAAAAAAAAAAATCAATTAACGGAAACGTGGTCTCGATAATAGTAAGAACGAGTACAAGCCAAGCCTCTGGAACCTGTTGATGTAACTCGAATGTTTGCTCTAATTCTGGAAATCTAAGGACCCGTCTGCAGGCTAAATGAAGCCATACATTTAGCATTTTCATTTGCGCTTCAACGAAGCGWCGTTTTCAATACGCTTTTTTGAAAGACGACTTGTCAAAAAGCATTTATAGTTTCATTTGCGCTTCAACGAAGCGCCGTTTTCAATACGCGTTTTCGAAAGACGACTTGTCAAAAAGGATTGTCAAAATTATCCGGAAATGGTCATCGTTTCTAGTGGATTCGTAAACGATAAGCCCAAAAATATGCAGTTTCTCAAAATATCCGGATATGTTTAGACGTGGCAAGGGAAGAACAATTGTCACATAAAGTACCTTGATTTCATACGATATTATGAAAACATACCACACTGCCATATAGAGTATTTGTGCTCTAAAATAAACACATATCGAGGATTGGAACGAGGATTGGAACGAGCATTGCAATGCTGAGCTCCTAGCCACGCCGGGTTCTTTTGGTAGTTCTTATGTCCGTGCTTCGAGAATCTTACATGTATATTTTCTTGCGAAACTTTCAGATGTTTTTAAAACTAAAAATTCAGATCAAAATATCAGTTTTGATATCTGCCAAAGGAGTATTTTCTTTTTCAACATTAAAAAATTGTTAAAATGTCTACGAATATAAATACATATATACACAAAATGATGACAAACACGTACAGCAACAAAGTGAGTTTCAGCAAATTATCAGGAATATGACCAGGTATACATGTAAATATGGTCAAATTATGTAAAAAACTGTGCGCAGATAGTGGAATATTTTGTTTTGCCGAAGAAAATGTAAATGCCACAATTACCAATTTGACAGTATATTCATCAGTTGAATACTGTAGTAGAGAGCTATAAAAACGAAACAAGCTCTTCGAGAGCGAAAGGAAGCRCGAAAACTAATTTAGAGARCCGTAGAACAACTCGTAATTACAATGAAATAAAGGAACGAAGTGTCTATTGTCATTTCGCATTTTTCATTATTGGAATTCTTTCATCTTTACGTGATACTGAGCTCATGTACATGGTAATAGTACGGTATTCAAATCGGTACAGTGGTTTTACATTGCCCTTTCATTCTATTTTCTCTTCACGATATATCTCCATTGTCATACACTTTGAAATCAGCAATTAACGACGTCAAAGAAACAACCAAATAGAAAACATCGTGKAATAAATACACCGAGCACATGGTTAGATTTCTAATGACAGAAATATAAAAGGTTTATGCCTACCTTGCACTCTTTTAGCGTCAATAGAGCGAGATACACCTTAGAGAAACACTCCTTATTAATAACAAGGATTTAATTAATAACCTGTCTCCCAACACGCCAGTCATGAAGTAATATATCCGCTTCAACCGTAGGGAGTTGGGGCTGGTAATTTTTCAAGACGCTARATGACTCGACTTGGTCGAACCACTGGTACTTTTAAAATTAAAATTGCTTAGCTTGGACTTTCACTTAGGGATATTTCGTTTTTTATTCGCTAATACCAGTGCGATGCGAAGCGGATCAGGCTCATCAGGATTATCTTTTTACTATTCCATTGAGCTGAATGAAATTGAGATTCAGTTTTTTTTGGAAAGTTACACTAGAAAAAATAAAAAAAGAGAAAGAAACAATTTTTACATTTAGTGTAAATAGTAATATACATGGACCGCGGAGCAGGGAAWGCCGGGGGGCTACAGCCCCCCCAATAATTTTCCCGACATTTTGAATTTTCTTAAATAAAGAAGCGAATAGCCTCCTTATGAAATTTCACCATATATATTCTATTCTATTTATTATTCTATTATTTCAAGCTGATCCCTTGTTTTTTTTWWWWAAAAATACAGACGTCAGAGGCCCTTGAACTACCATGAGCACTAACTATTTTACCTTTAAAAGCTCCGGGTAGCTTTTAGTAAAATTTGAACAGATTTCGGCGMCTGTTGACCTTGGCCTAAGATCATAAGTGCATTCATAAGTGTGAAAGCATGCATTATAAAAGTACAGGGGGTGGCGAATGCATAAGCACTAAGACCTTGTTTGCCTATAGGGTGGCCATAAGGACTGTTCATTACTTACTAGCTCCTCACTAGTCAGTTAAATCAAACCATAGTTTGTAGAGGAAAATAGTTAGGAAGCATTTTGTTGTAGGTTTTTGTGCACTTTTTCCCAAGGGTGACCGTGCACAATCTTTTATTTMACTATTGGTTTAGCCATAATGGTCACATCTGAATGAACAGAGCGAAAATTATTCTTTTGACAATTTCTTCAAAATGCACAAACAATTTTAACCAATATTGAAATATTTCATTTCATGATCTCATAGGTGGTGTTAATGTTTAGTCATTTTGCAATTTCCATCGTCCGTAAGGAAAACGTTGTGCACGGTCTTGACTGATTCAACCTCAAAATACGTTCAAAAGATGTACAAAAGAAGTACAACAAAAGGTKTCCAAACCATTCGCCTCTATTAACTATGATCAAACTAAATACTAACAAATAGCGGCTATTTATAGATACAAATGGTCAGTATCAATGAACCAGAACGCAATCAAGATGAATGAAAAATGTTCCCATATGGATACATATTCAAGTTGCGTTTTGGTTCAAAAAGCCTATTTGTTAGTATTTAGTTTGATTTCATTTCATGGTTTTCCTGCGTTTGCTCTACTGAAAACTCTGAATAAAGACTTTATTAGCCTATATCAAGAATCAGTAATTTACACGTTCGTATCGGCCGTTTCGAAAAGTTCTTTGTTCTTTTCATCTCTTTTTTTATAGGGACAGATTTTAAATGTTGCACGATCATAGATATTTATATGCTGACTAAATCTGGATATAGAGGCACGCCCTCAACCAAGTACTTACWGTGATATGGCACGCACAGTAATATGTCTCATCCTAAAAAAAGATAATTATAGTAGACTGCACAAGCCTGAAATTAAGAAAACCGGTTAGTGAGCAGTTTCTACGAAGAGACACATTTCTAATGTTGTAGTAATAAGAATCAGGATTACGGAATACATTTTGTCTCCAATTGACATGAAAATAAGATCTTTCTTGCAGTAGAAATTGATTTYGACTTCATTTATACTGAACAATACTCCCTTTTCGAAGTCAAAGCGAATAACCGCTGTTTTATTTGACTATTTTCTTTTGAGCAAGGCATTACCGAAAACGAAAGAGAGCACGAGAAAATGTCGTTCTTACAATTGCCCTGAAAATTGGCATTTTTTTCAAAGACACTAAACCCTGTGTATTCTCAGAAGGCCTAAGGTTTAAGCCTTTTGAGAATACAGGGCTAGCCTTAACTCCGGGAAAATGCAAATAGTTGAAATMTCACACAGAGCATTGGAGAATTCGAAACTGGATTATTCAAATTGATAGCAGGAACGTTGGAATGCAACAACTTTATAGGATATTCTATCACTGTCCTGGTTATACCGTTTCCTTMTTGATCAATTTTACTCAAGTRGAYCCGACAGTCAACGGCACGGACATGACACAGGCCGGAACCTCTACTTTTGYACAATCATACGAAATCCGCTCTATATGGCGTGCAGCCTAATATTTCATTGTTCTCTGTACTGCGGGCTGTACTAAACTTTCACTGGTCCTACAAGTGAACCACACTACATTATTTTTTGGTTATTAAGCGCTGATGTATGTTTTTTTAAAGTTTATAACTGTAAAATAGTGTTAAGAACTGCAATAACAATATAAGCTAATATATACATAATAATTTCTTAGTTTTTAGACTTTGTTTAATGAACAATTGCTAGCAATATTTAGTAGAAATCAGTATAGTCACATATTATACATTGTGCTCTAGACACGAGCTGAAATCTCCACCAGACACCATGAAAGTTTGCTCCTATCTTCGTCCTTCATTGTTCCCTGGCCAATCGTGAAATACAGCTATTTCAAAAAACGTTGCCGGGGAGAACGGTGATTGTCGAATGGAGATTGCACGGCCGAAAGGAATTATGGTTACACTGTTTTGATAAACAAAATTTCACTTATTGGATTCACCTTACATAGAAATGGAGACTAAATGGAGMCAATGTTTACCACAGACCATCTTACAGAATAAATCAGTTGTTATTGCCTATAACTATCAAAACCCATGTCCACTTTCCGTCGTGCAATCGCCATTCGACCATTGACATTCTCCATTTTATCCGACAACCTTTTTTTGAAATGGCTATATAACCGTGCCTGTGCATCGAAGTGAGACGACTGATGAGAGTGCTATRATAGAAACCTTTGTTCATATTCTAGATATTCACAGCTATCTAACATTRTAAGCTCTCCCATGGTTTCGCTTCGATGCAAAAATATGGTTACATTTCAAGATGGCGCAGGGTGCCGTGAAGAAYACTATTGTTTTTGACGAACTCGTACCCAGTGCCCTCTCTGTAGACACTGGAAAAGACTGATTRTCAAGTGATCAAATACAGTATTATTGCCTCAAACTCTTCGTATTTGAACCGAACGCAAACAGGGTGAATCAAATAACAGTTGTACGAATCTGGTCGAACAARCCACGAGAGATACCCGAACATAGCTTAAAAATAAACAGRAAATGGCAAGCGGTTTATCTGAGAATTTCGTCTTTATTAGCCAATTGCAAAGCGCATTAGTTTTAACTAAAAGACTTAAAAGTCTTTTCCAGGGCCTTCACCGTAGCGTCCTCCATTTTGTAACTAGATACAGAGAACAAGGTTGCCATTGGACTGGCAACATTGACTCGGGGGTTTGAATAGACAATACGAAAAACAGGAAATTGAGTAAAACGTTGTCGGCGTGTCAAGCTCCAGAAGCTCTTTTGGCAGGGGTTATGGGCTTCGTAAAGGCTGCTGGTGACGTATTCAACGCTGGACTACGAACGTAGTAAAGTGCTACATACATACTCATAAATCGGCGAAAAAGTTTGAAGATGTCCCACTTTTCACGGTTTCGCTCTTCTTTGACCCTGGAGAAATAGTTGTATCTCGCAAATGTTCAATATCCCAAAACTTGACGGTTTGGTCATGTGAGCAGCTAGCTAAAAGGTTTTCATCAGGTGAAAGCCGTATTCTTTCAATTGGGAAATCTGAATGTTCTCCCACAGGGCCAATAAGACGATTTGGAAGGATGTGAATAGCTCTGCAAGGAAAGGCTTGTAATTACTGAATATACACAGAATGGCAAAGAGACAAATGAGAACCGACCGACCGACCAAATCCAAACAAAACCAAATAATATTCGTGTTGTTTGGCGTGACATTCAAAATTAGCCAACAGAACACGAGCCGTATGTAAGTACACAAGCAGGGTGAAAACTAATTCGAAGTCTTCAAATGTTTTAAAAATATATATTTAAAACTCTTAGAATCACGTGAGCATTACTTCGTTTTATATAGCATCCATAATAAAAAAATAAATCAAATTCCGTTTTTTTTTCTTTGATATTTTATTTAAAAGTGCCGTTGAGTGACARTTTGATTTCGGTCGGAAAGCATAGTTAGCCGTAAAAATTATATTTGCGTTGGTTTAGCATACATTTCGAGAAATAAAATGTTTGTTGGATGAAAAAAAAAGGGTTTTCGAGATGGATGACGTCATGTGCAAACAAAGAATAGAAATTGAAAAGCAAATCAAAAGAATTAGCAAATAAAAATACTAACGTCATGTGCAAACCAAGAATAGACCAGCAAATCAAAAATAAATTACCAAAAGTACTGAGCAATAGAGCGGATTTCGCATGAGTGGGAAACGGACGGTACTGTACTGTGACTGTAATCGTACTGTAACACAATTCTAGTGCCCCATTGGTTCACCAAAATTGTGCAGGCCAGGGAGGCCAGGTCCGGTAGCTGTGAGGTAACCGTGCGGTAACGCTGTCCCACTCATACGAAATACGCTCTAATGTACATGGAGTATATCAATGTTTACCTTATGATTCCGTCCATAGATCCAGTACACACAACATTGTCACTAATTGCAACACAAGCGTCTACTGACTGTGGGTGTCCCGGGAATCGATCGCTGATATCGCCCCACTCTCCCCAGGTAAAGATGTTTAAAGCCCCTTCACCAGTACCACATATAACTTTACGACCACCCTAATATAATCAGACGTTTTTTAAAAAGCATATAATACATTGACAAGATTTAATTCCTCTTGCAACAAGTCTTTCAACAATTGCGGGAAAAAGGGATCGTGCCGGGTCATACTTTCGATGAGTTTAAAGTATTAATATATAGCATGTACAAATTGTTTTTCTTTTTTTTGTAATGACTTCATTTCCTTCTATCCTGGACGATCAGCCGATAGCTCAAAAACYATGGACTTTATTGTTACAAATCTCAACTATTCAAAAAATATCATCGGTACTTACAGTAGAACCAGTGGCAGGAGATCAGTTTAACTTTCATTCAAAAACCATTATAATTTCAATCTAATGAGTATCATGAACGTATCAGAAAATAAAACTTCATTTCTGCCAAGTCAAGTTTTGCTTGTGTCTCTCATTATGGGTTTGTGCTCAAACAAGAAAATCATCTTAAAAAAACTACTTAATGGTGAAGTCTTGCATAAGAGAAAATACAACAATGGAACAATAAGTACACAATATTACCTTAACCAGTGTCACAGACAAAAGTTCTGTTTCCATATTATCAGATTTATCTTCAAGCTTTAACCTTCTCACATTAAATACTGATAATGATCCATCACCACTAAACAATTAAAAAGAAATTAAAATAAAGATGAGCATTCAAATTGAAAATCATCAATGAGCTGAATAATGTATGAGAATTTTAGAGGTGCATGCAGGGTTTTCAAGAGGTTCCAGCTTTTTTGTGGTTTCAAGACTGCAAATATTGCAATCTGAGCATTGTTTTGGGTTCACAAGGG